ATACAACATCAAACATTATTGTTTTAGTTATGTTATGTTATTCAAATCCAGTATGAGTTTATATAGCAAGTGTACTGTGTTTAAAAATCTGTATATCAGCTTCGCAGAATCCTCTATCGAACAGGGACTATCCACTCTGTCGAAAGGAGGATAGCCTTCTTGCGACAGAGTGGATAGTCCCTGTAATTAATAAATCCACAAAGTAAATCCAAGCTTCGGTCTAAGTTGTAAGTATCTCTGTTAATCAGTGATTGTACATGAAGTTTTCTCACAATCACAGATCAATGTGGCTGACTATTGTTACAGTCAATGCGGAGGTTATACGGAAGAAGAGAATGATCATATTGTGCATAAAAATCATATAAAAGGAAAAGATATCCTGAAAAGTGGACAGAAAATGTTAGGAAGAAGGCAATAAATAGTAGAGAAGAATATATATCCAAAAGGCGAAAGTTTGTGTTGGCCAGAGTGAACGTTGACATTATCTGATGCACAAGAGAATGGTGTACATTGAAAACATTTTCGAATGAGAAAAAAGATGTTATGATTTCTATAAATTGGATAATCACAGTACCCAAAAAGTTTTTTTTCTTGCAAGAGAGGCTATTTAAATGACAGAAATAATGTTGGTGAAACAGGGACAATTGTTGTAAACCCAAAAAATGTAATACAATATTAACAATTGTTTCCCATTGTCTGCAAAAAGTTGCCTTCCCGAGGAAAGGAATTTCTAAAGATAGCAGCTAATATAGAACTTAACTTAAAAAGAATGTTTCTATAGGTAATAAAAGTACCTACGCAAGAGAAATTGCGCTAGATCACGGAGATCCCACTGACTGAGAACTGACTGTGTAAGAACTGACACATGAATGATCACTCTTTGTTTAGAGTAGAACGACTTCTTACCAAATGGTGTGACACTTGTTTTCAAGAAAAGAATTAATCGAAATGAAATAACCAAACATATTTTGAAACAAATTCATGTTTTATTTTCTCTCATTTTAGTTTCGTTGTACAGAAAAGTTATGTAAGCATTGGAATTAATAGTTAAGTAGTTTATGTCGGTTTTTCGGCAGATAAAATCGCGTTGTTAATCGCAGGTACCGAAAAAGTGGAAGCTCCTACGAATAAATTACCTCCTCTAACACGTGTTCTGGGCCTTTAGGTACCGGAATATTGGTTTACGGCGAATCCTCAGTCCGGCTGTCCGACCTTCAGCCTGCCCGTTCGTCCATATGTCAACATCATTAGCGGCTAAACCGTAGGAACCATTTTCAACAAAATTTGATATTGCCTATCGATCGGACTTATGTCGCGGCCCCTTGAATTCGAAACGTATTTGGGTTTGAGGCGTACTTTATATAAACCCTATACATTTTCAAAATTTCTCGAAAATGGCTTCAATTTTTTCTTCTTCGGGTAGTACAAAGTAAGCTTTTAAAAAAGGCGCAGATTCTATTTTCATTGAAATCTCTACATTTTCAATAGTTAAGTTTGAATTTTATCGGCACCTTCCTACAAGTACAATAATTAAAATATAGCTATTTATTCATAGTGAAATTTATTCTTCAAAATTAAACCTTTAAATAAGGTCCTGCACAATTGTTTCAAAATATGTATACTTTTCGCGATATTTTGCGGGAAATAAAGTCAATTTTAAAAACAAGCAAGGATAAGAAAAGGATAATTGAACACGGTATCATTTAGAGACCAGTTCAGATGAAAAATACACTGTGATTAATTTTTTACATTGTTCTTTATTTGCATAATTCCTTTAATAACAGACACAATCCAATAGTTCACCACGAACTCCGTCACAATAAAACGTATTTTTTTACTTACTACCAAACATAGCTTCCGTTGGCATCTTTTGGCAATTTAAATAAGAATATTTTATGTCAAACACAAAGCAAATGTATTGTTCTAGAAGCAATCAGAAAATGTTGCCTTCTACACTTCCACGAATATCTTGTTCCTTACATGAGAACCACCTATTTATTTCCTGAAGTATCTTCCCCAATTTTTTTCAAACTTCCAATACCCTGTACCCACTACTAATTGTGTATTAAAAGCAGAATATCACGTTAATACGTCCAGCCTACGTTCAGGCGTCCTGTCTCTAGCGAACTCGATCCAGTCTCTCTCAACAACACTTGCATCCCTAGCAACCGACGCCACACCCCTCAATTGTTCTTTCCTACGAGTTCATACAATTGTTATCAATTTCGTAACAGAGGCAACGGATCCCGGGGTCGGTAGACGGATGCCGCAGATAAAGCGGTCGGCAGAGCGCCGAAGAGAGGAGGTGGCTATTCGCTACCGGAAAGTGTAATTTGTACTCACGTTATCGTAATGTTGGAGTTGCTCAGCAACGACTCTCAAGCATTCTTGAAATCTCCTAAACAATTTCACTCGGCAAATGATGTCCTGTGGTATCGCATAGATATATACCTGTATATTGTACCTTAATTCTTCTTCCGTATGGGGAAATTATTTGGGCGCCTATGAGAGCCACAGACTCACATAAGTTATAAAATGCAAACAATAAAAATATGACACAGTCCTAGAAGCATAAACATCCTCTTGTCATCACCTTGAATCGGCAGAAAACTAATATTCTCTCCATTTGGTTACATTTTTGCGACTGGGTTTACGAATGTCTATTGGCTATCGGGATAGCATTTGATTTACTAGTAGTTGTAAAACGTGTTGCAATGGAAGTTGAAAACGCTGTATGTATATGTTCTCTTACAATCTATTCCTAGAAAATGGTTTAGTAGACTTGCTTTTTTTAGTGTTAGTTGACTAGTACTTTCATCCGCTTTCCAGTCACCTGCTTTCATGGATTGAAAATGCAAGACGCGTGCAGCACGCGAATCGCTCAACATTTAGCTATAGATGAGAGGTAGAGGTGCCCTTACTTTCCCTCGCAACGTCCGTTTATTTCATCCGGAGAACTAGGACGTTCGCTTTTTCGTTTCGAACACGACTTGCTTTTTGACAAATCATCAATATTTTGTTGTTGTTGCTTTTGTTATTGTTCAAGAAATTAGAAATCAATATTAAAATTCATCTCCTTACCCTAGATTTAATTCGTCTCAGAGATGGTGAACGATTTAATTAGATTATAATGTAAGTGATTTTGCAGCAACGATTCAGTAGAAGCCGTGGTGAATTGGTGAATCTGCCCGATGGCCTGTAGATTACAATATTGTCTCATGTATTAATCATATTCTGAACCCCAGAAATGAATTGTTCTGAGAGCGGTACCACGAAGTGGAACGTTTGTGGTGTGGGTGGTGTGCTATACAATGGGTCATTCTATTAAAATGCATTAATTAATGACGGTACAAGGCTGCACTGAAAAAGCGAGAGCCGCTAGTGTTGAGGCTCGTAAAGGGGCGCTCCACGCACCTTCGGCGAAGTCAAGGCCCCGGAGGCCGGCGCCTATGAGCTGTGATGGATGGGGGCGCGAGGGGCTCTCAGGGTCTCATCAAAGGCTCGCGGGCACCGCAAAAGGCCCTTCGCGGGGGCGGCGGAAACGGGGTCGTCGGCGACGGCGGCGGACGCGCCTTGGTGGCTGTCTGTCGTGCGAGACGTATGGATCGGCGCGGGGGCCGGGCGCGCACACCTCCGAGGCGCCCGCGGAGCGCCGGCGGGGGCGGAGGCGGGGGCGGAGGCGGGGACGGGGCGGGGGCGGTGCCAGCTCGCTGAGAGGCGCCGCATCCGACGCGACGGCAGCCGCCGCTCTACGGGCGTCGGCGCGCGCCGGCGTCAGCGTCTTTGCACGAAACACCTTCCGGCGGCGGCGGCGGCGCAGTGGAGGCGGGCGACTGGCGCGGGCGGGGGGGGGCTGGAGGGGGGGCGGGCGGAACGCGGCGGCGGTGCATACCTCCACGTCAGGCACCGGGGAGCTTCGAAGTACGGGGGTTCCACAAGGTTCAGTTCGTGGCCCACGCTAACTGCACCCAGAGGCGTCACCGCAGCCGCTAAACGGTCACGCAGTAGCCTTCAAGTGTCCGGTGAGAACCTTTTCTCCCCTAGACACTCTCCTGGCTGACAAGCATCATCGATCTTTCTGTAGCATCTGTGCACTCTTTGGCCAACTTCACGGCAGTCGGAGAAACTGCAAAACTCTTCCACTAAGACGCGAAGAGGACTGCAAACAATCAATTGTAGCTCGACGATTTAGTTTTAGTGATAAAGGGGTTCATCAATTTCACATGTTTATTACCAATGTAATGGTCGCTGTTGAGAAATAAATTACATTCATTCAGAAACGTAACAATTAATACATTGTTTCTATGAAGAGAAAAAATATTAATGTGAAATAATAAACACAAAAGGAAATTGAACTTCTTTCGGAATAAACAACTGTAGTCTAGCTTTTACTTGGAACCTTTAGGCAATATGATATTGAATGCAAATCGAAAATATGCGTTCTGCCTCCCACATTCGATTTTCTTTGCAACTGTAGTGAACTAATTTACTGAGTGTGTATTTTAGGATGTAGCATTGTATATTTCAAATTCTGCATGCAAAAACATTTACAAAATGATGAGCTCGCTGTTAAAAATAATAACAAGGTGAATATGTTTCCAAGTCCGTTGATTTTGAGATTTGAATCTGAGTAATTGAAGTACGCTGGTAGTCCAAGAATGTCAGAAGTAACTGGATCGAGGATGAGGGAGGGGGTACTACGATGAGGAGAGAATGGGATGTGTGCTAAAATGGCCGAAAAAGGGTCCGCTAGGGAGCAGATTTGGAAGAGAACTCTGAGCATGCGCCTCATGCGCCAACGACTCACGCGATTCTTGATAGGAGGTAATGATGACACCTGTTGGAACCCTAAATGGCAGTTCACAGAAACACGCCATTTACTTCAAAGACTTTTTTTATTTCACACTTGTAAAGTGAAATTAAAAAGCTATCTTCTTGAAGTTCATAGAAATATTTATGTGGTTTTTGCCAATTTTTCATTAATAATTACTAGAAAGAGGCGTAAGAATAGCTAGTTTAAGGAAAATAAATGGAAGTTTCATGAAAGGAGGTACTGATGTTTCAAAAGAAGTAAACCATTATATGATCTGCATTTTATTGTGAGATCAGCGTGGCAAAGCAAGCACACAACAGAATTACAATTGGATTTCAGAGCTCAGAGCTCGTTACTGTGGAAAATGTGGGAACAGAGAACAGAAAAAAAATAGGATATTAAAATTGATCATTGATAGTGTTAAGTGAACACTGATGAAACAGACTAACATTCAATTCTACGTAGAGGTTCGAGGACCTTCGCATTCATCTAAGGACTAGTGGCACGAGAGGAAGACAATGGACTCGTCAGGGGTCAAACGGTTGGAGAAAGGTGCGCGGTGCTGCGGGCAGGGGAGGCAACACGGACGTGAGACGCGGTGAGACGCGGTGTGAGCGCGTGATGGCCAGCGGTCGGCGGGAAGGCGCGGGGCGGTCGCCCCCTGCCGCTTCACTCGATGTGGAAGGGATAGTTCACGTCGTGTTGGACCCTGAAAACAAACAGAAAAACAAAAACAATTGGCGCTCAGTTCCCTCATTGATAGTCGGAATTGAAGAGATTACTTTCAAAGGGCCGTATCTCCAAGAAATACTGTTTTGAGGAAGAATCAGTTTTCACATTCAGGCTTATTGTTGAAGACAGGATTAAACGGTTTTTCGAATACCATTTAATGGACAGACAATTTTTCAACACAATGCTTGTCAGTATATTCGTCAGAATATATAAATTAGAAAACTAAGAAAATGGGTGACACGTCAGTTTATGAATGAGCTCTCTTATTATGTAGGACAAGTTATAGAAGTGTTTCTTAGAGAAAAGAAACGAATCATTCTCTATGGTTGCAATATTTTAAGGTTTAAGCAGATTACAGTGTATAATTCAGAATATAGGCGTCATATTTTCGATGTGTAGTTATTTCGCAATATGTGCGTAATTTTACAGCCGAGTGAAGGCAAGGACATCTCAAGAAGGCTTTAAACACCAATGCATGAGAATTTGCTTGTCCGTGACGAACGACATGTGTAACTTCCTTATATGAAATGTCCCACTACATCTTCATAGACAAAAATGGTTAATCCTCGATCCTCGTACACGCTCTGTACGTTTGTAACATTTATTCAGAGACATTCCATTCATAGCAGGCCATGCATTCCTTGTATCAAGCCTGTTTAAGCACCAGGGAACTCCGGAGCGCGTCTTGCCGAGCTATCGTTCGCCCGCGCTTTACGTAATTCATAATAGGGAACCTAATCCTCGTTTATTACAATATATTGAATCATTATATCACTACCACTGCCACTCGAATAGAATTTGTGTTCTTGTCTGGGGATCTGACCATATTTAGCTGTTTGGGATCGCTAAATCCGAATCCGGTGTCCATTTTACTCCCTCACATCAGGAGTCTGACATAACCTCAAAAAATATTGAAAATGAAAGTAGTGCTAACCAAGGGGTTAGAAATATCTTTCATTTTCAATATCTTACCTACATGTTTTTGAAGTCGCTGAAACCGAATCCTAAATCCATTTAACTTCATTACATATTTTTTACATAACCTTAAAAAAAGAAGAAGAAAACAATGGCTACTTGGAGACAAGGCAAGTGATCTGGAGTCAACGATATGGGCAATCTGTCATAGAACAACGTGATCTGTTCCACGAGGGGATAGTTCCACCTTCTCTATCAATTATAATCGATCTGAATTAATAAAATCTGATGTAATCAAATGTGCTGTGAAATCAAATAAATATAACTTAATTATTCCACCAAACACCTAACCACATAATATATTATTGTAAATAATTAACTTCTAATCAACAATATAATTAAATAAACAGACCATTTACTAACTTCCTCATTATTACAACAACTGAAAATCAATCATAACATGGGCTCACTCACTCCAGTAGCGGGTACGCGCGCACGCCGCAGTTGAAGGTGTCGATGAACTGCAGCTCCGCGGGCGCCAGCTCGAAGTCGTAGATGTCCAGGTTCTCGCGCAGGCGCGTGGGGTTGGTGGACTTGGGGATAGCCGCCATGCCGCTCTGCACCTACAGCAGGGAGTCGTTTCCGTGAGGGAGGTGCAATGCACCTATCACAAAGAACCTTAATAATACAGAAAATGAAGGTTATAGTTATAAGAAAATATCGTAGTTCATAAATATACTACTTCAGGGATTCTAGGTTAAAAAATCGCTTAAAATTGTTTCGCTGATATTCATAAAAGCTTCCGCGATTTTGAACTACTTTAGTGCAAAAAATTGTGAGTTTTGCAATTGTAATTCTTTTCTTTCTAATCTGCGATGTTGTACCGCGAGGAAAAATAAATGCGCGAAGGCTTGAGCGCGCACTCTTCAGTGGCAAAGAGCAGTGCAGACAGGGCAGCGAGTTTTCGCTCGCGCCTCCTCTGCACCATTTAATCCAAGAGCGCCAATGGCTGCAATTAGCTGCCTGGTGTCAGATGAAGTGAATAGTAGAGTATAGTGGATATAACCACCGGAACTGCGTTGGTGCTGGCTCTGGTTTAAGCCTCGTTGTTAATGAGTTGATTGAACATTATTAAGACATCTTCTGGCTATTGGATTCTTGGATAACCGGGATGATCTGCGTCTCAGTCGATCAAGCTGTCGATCGAGATGTCGATCGAGAGCTGTACTGTAGACGGCCACAACACTATAGTCGAAACGTCTGTTCGATCGACTGAGACGCGGCTCATTCCGGACAGCCAAGAATCAAATGACTCCGGCCGCGGAAACCTACGAATTCATCTTCTTGCTATTGGTATTCTGACATTTGCATTGCTTTTTGACATTAATATTCAGCAGCTTCATACTGTAGTATAGAGAGGACAAGTATGGGAATTACCTCAACAATATGATCACGAATATTGGTCTTAAAATCCGTGTATAAGATTGTGTTCAGCTCTAACTTCGCATACACGTCAGGAGTAAAGTCTATTATTGCAGTTCTAAACATGGTTAAGATTTTAACTCGAAGATCACAAGGTGAATTATAAACAGACTTAGGTAATTTCTTTATTTTATTTCATGACGTTGAAAGATGTTGAACACTGGGTTTACAGTGACTAGTGATTGTATGTTCCAGAATGTGTAAACCTTCCTTATTTCATTAGTCGAGACTAAATACTTGACTATATGAAACAACGTTTGTTTTTTTCTATTCTTTGAATAGTATATAAGTAGAACTTCTTTTTTATCACATCCAACGCATATTAAGTTCGGCGTGCTTCGTTGCTGCTCGAAATTTTAAGATATGACCCAACTTTTCAGGCCATTTTCAATCATATTGATTCCTCTTGGTTGGGTGTTTTCTGCAAAAATTCATTAAATTCAATCAATCTTTCAATGACGTCATGCACGTTTTAAAAATTTGAGTAATTGTTATAGGAAGAGAAGGAAAAGCTTCGGTATGCCGATCGGTAAGCCAGATCGATTGAAGAATATCAGTTTTGAAGAAAATCGACTTAACGGTTTAGGAAGAGAGAGAGGAGAGAGGGAGGGAGAGAGGAGAGAGAGGGAGGGAGAGAGAGGAGAGGGAGGAGGAGAGAGAGGAGAGGGAGGGAGGGAGAAATGGAGGAGGGAGGCGAGGGTGAGGTGAGGGAGAAAGTGGAGAGGGAGCTGACGAGATAAGTGGAGAGGGAGCGACGGAGAAAGGTGGAGAAGGGAGGGGAGGGAGAGTGGGAGAGAGGTGGGAGGGAGAAGGGAGAGGGAGGGAGGGAGAGACATGGCAGAGGGAGGGAGCGGGAAAGTGGAGAGGGAGGGAAGCGAGAAAGGAAGAAAAAGGGAGGGAGGGAGAGAGAGGGAAAGTGGAGGGAGAAAGGAGAGGGGAGGAGGAGAAAATGGCAGAGGGCAGGAAAGCAGAGAGAGAAGAGGGAGGAGAGGTCGATGGAGAGAGAGGAGAAGAGATTGAGAGAGGAGAGGAAAAGAGGAGAGAGTAGGAGAGAGAGAGAGAAGAGAGGGGAGAGAGAGGAGAGAAAAGGAGAAGAGAGGAGAACAGGAGGGAGGAAGATGGAGAGCGAGGAGGAGAGAGGAAGCAGGGAGAGGAGGGGAGAGGGGGAGGGAGAGAGGAGAGAGGGAGGGACAGAGGGACAGAGGGAGAGAGGGAGAGAGGGAGAGTGGGAGAGAGAGGGAGGGAGGGGAGAGGGAGAGAGAGACGGACATTTTGTCGTCATTCGATTTTTCGGTATCAAGGACCCACAGGACATGGATTCATGCTACATCACGTGTTATAGGATTTCCCCCCTAAATTTAGCAACGTTTATCCACTGTTTCGTTACTAGGGCTCTGTAGTTTTTCTGATGAAAAGTCGCCGTTTTTCCGCGCAGCATTACATAACTTTCTCTATACTCGGTAGCCAGAAAGTAAAATTTTCAATGTCTGAGGTAATAATTGATTAACTGATTTAGAAGGTCAAAAAATAATAGTGAAATTCAGTTTTCATAAACTTCCAAATGCGATGTACTAATACTCCGCGAACAGCTTTGTTCATAGATACGGTTTTTGCGAACAATTGACACTGCCGATGGCTGGATGATGTGCGATTCTAATCTCGAGCGGTTGCCTAAAATTTGCTAGATATTGCGATAATCTTTGTTTCTGTCGGATTCCTTTCTTTGCATTCGTAGGTATATGATCAGTAGTATCAGTGATTTCCTTAATCATATCCACGCCAATCCTAGCGCAGAGTCTTTTACAATGAATTACGAACCAATTGGGAGTAGGACAGATCGGACGGATTGCGATCTTCTTTTCTCTTCAGATCCCCTCAATTCGGGGGGAGGGGCGAGTATCAGTACATAATGAGGGAGTGCGTGGCATTATCCCGTTCATAAATATGCCAACAGCAGTGGAAAAGAGGGCTCTTTTAAATTGATTAAATCACCTGGAAATAAATGTTTATAACTCGGGGCATCGTTGATTTTCGTTGTCCAAATCGTAAATAAAATCAAATATTTTTGTTCGGTGCGTCACTTTTAAGAATGATATCAAAACTGTATTTATATCGGCTATTTGTTCATTTATCTCATGGCCCGAAATTGCTAAAAGTGTCATTGCAGCTGCGCATCCAATCTCATAGAGACGGTTGTTGCTCCTCCCCGCTACTGATCGTGCGTTTCGATATGATGATAAAAATGACAATAACAGATAATGTGCTCAGTAATAAGAACGGATGGGAGTGCTGAATTGACAGGTACAGGAAACTGGAGAGCCTCTTGAAAACCTGCCACAAAACAAATTTGTTTTCCACATGCAGGAAAATGTACATGACGGGGATATGAATATCCTATATTATAAATAATACGGGATAATACCCAGTAACAAAATGTGGTTGCTATGCAAAAGCAATTTAAGAATTGAATGACCTTTTGTATCACTAGAGGCCGTTCTATTGAATTAAATTTATTTATCTAATTTGTACTTTAAATATACTGTGGCGTTTAATCGTTTGTAAGAACACTAGGATCACAAAAGCTACACAAGTTTGTTTAATATTAAAGAACTCGGAGCAATTTTCAGAAATATTTAGAACAAAAATAAAAGATATCCAATACAAAAATACTTCTTGTAGCAGCATTTGGCGAATTGCATTAACATTCCTCATAAGAAATCATTCTTCTTAACAAAGGCGTTAGATACACTTTATGATGGGTTTTAAAACCTGAGAAATAAAAAGTGTAATAGAAATCTATGATTGATAACAAAATGTTCAACGTCTTCGTTGGGTGAATATCGCAGAATCCCTTCTAGTTAGACTTCCCGCTGTACCTTGGAGCCTCATTTTTTTTACACATTTTACTTGTCAATATTTTCCTTCGCCTTTACTCCAAGTGTGTTTTTCATTCTCCCGATAACTCTTTCTCCTCCTCCTCCTCCTCCTCCTCCTCCTCATTCTCCTCCTCCTCCTCCTCCTCATTCTCCTCATTCTCCTCCTCCTCATTCTTCTCCTCCTCCTTCTTCTACTTCTTCTCCTCCTCCTTCTTCTACTAATTCTCCTCCTCCTTCTTCTACTTCTTCTCCTCCTCCTTCTTCTACTTCTTCTCCTCCACCTTCTTCTACTCCTCCTCCTCCGTCTCCGTCTCCTTCTTCTTCTTCTTCTTCTTCTTCTTCTTCTTCTCCCTTCTGCTTTTTCCATGCGGCATGTGTACTTATAAGAGTCCGTAGTCTGCTTTTTGCGTAAAGCAACGTAATTTATTGTTTTAAGAATGTAACCTAAGGTTATTTTGAGTGTTCGTGGGAAATGCTTAAATTCTGGGCAGTTTTGACAGGTTTATTAATCGTCTCCTATATTATTTAAGTAGTATACATTCCTTTTGCGGCTCTCACATCCAACCGATCTTTATATATGAGGTCTCTCAAGACAGAGAAATTCACGGAGACGTAACGAATTGCACGTTGATTTGAAAATATGGAGAATTTGTTTAAAATCGCATCTAAATATTCACATCAAATGCAACTCGCAGGACTCTGTCAGCTATATTGTTAAATAACTGCTAAACGAAGTGATATAGGGTCTTAAAAACTAAAATTTTGAAGCCAAAGACCTCAAAGAAACGTTTTTTACACCATAATCTACAGAATAAGACATTCTTGAGCATTTTATTAATTTTTTGTTGATTCGACACTTATCGATACTGCCATTGCCACATAGAGTTTAACCCTTGGTGCCATATTTGCGATGTGACGCTTAGAAGGCTTAGATTCCTCTGTCTTATACAATTTGCGCTTGCCGTGTACACCGTGGTTTATACCGCGCAGACTGACGAGGTATATTTGCGTAATTGTAAATTCAAGGTTCGCTCTCCCAGTAACAACTAGTACCATTAATAGTCGCTTGATACCGATGAAAATTGTTTCTTATACGTGTGGTAAAAACCTTCATTTACCGTTTTGCCAAGGTCTGCAAGTGCTGTGTACCTCAAAGAGAAGGGATGTGGGTGTACAGTGAGGAGTGAAGATGTGTCTTGTTGGGTTTGGTTTGTGTTTCACCTGTACCAGTATTATCGTTATCAGCAGTGATTCGGTAAAACGTTCCAGTCAGCGTGTTTAGTCACGTAGCTTTCTCAAGAGTAAAAAAGGCTTTTAATATTTTGGTGACTATCACGAAACGTGAAAAGTTATCTGGCAAAGAATATTTACTAATTGCTTCAAATATTTTCTAGGAAGTATTGTGAATTGTTCAAGAAATCTCTCGATAATACTGACTATTTTATTTTCCACATCAGTTGCATTGTATTTTATTATTTGACATTGTGTTAGTACAATGGAAGTTACCTTATACACTTTTAAACATATAAATACGTTTTGTTAAAACTTTCCCTTTTAGAATGGAAATAGATGGATAGGGAAGAGTGTGGGTTTTAACATGCGAGAGTTCTCGCACGGGTGCGCTAGTAACATTATATATTAAGTAACGAGTACGTACAATGTTAAAATACTACTTTTAATAATTTTCGGAGGTTCACCATTTTTCTTGGGTTGACCAGAATTCGAAAGAGCAATTTCCTAGAAATGGCGCTGACAGCTCCGCCACAGGTGGCACCTTGTGAGGCAATTTGAACGCGCTCCGCTCACTCTCCGTTTCTCCGTTGCAGCAGGGGGCGCCAGCCAATCAGTCAATTCACCTGCGTCGCCGATCGATCCCCCGCCTCGGTCAGTGGGCGGAGGCCGCGACGCCGCCGCCCTTTGCACCGACGGCACCGCCCCCGCGGGGGACGGGGGGCGGGGGAGCGGATGCCAGCACTGCGCTTCCGTCGCGCGATACGCCGCGGTGACACTGGGGCGCCGCTCGTCGCCAACTCTCCTCCTCCTCCCCCGAGCTTGCCCTTCCTGCTTTCCCGGGGCGACAGCTGGCGCCGCCTGACGCCGTCGACGCGGTAACACGACGACCTCCGCGCGGCGACTTCGGCGGGGCTGTCAGTTCCCGGGGTTTCGTGACCAAACAAAGAGGAGGCGGAGAAAGGTTTCCCCTGCCGTCAGAGAGATCCACAAAGAGTGGTCGGGTAGAGACCCCAAGGACGAAGCAATGGAGACGCGACTCTAGAAACTTCACTGGCTGGAAACTTCACTTTTCAACATTTATTGGGCTGAATTTGAAATAATACTCATTACATTGTCATTCTACATCCTTGGAGCCAGAACTCAAACAGATTTTTCAGAGGGGATCGAACTAATACTTAGCATTACGAACAATATCACTTTATAATTTCCTTCTCACGACAAATTCAGCATTTTATTACACGAAAAACTGTAAAATTATATTTAATTTTTCAAGTAGATGTTTACCAAAGTATTTCAGGGGGTGAATTCCCTAACATGCCGCTGGGAACAGCCCGGCTTAATGACTACACAAAATGTTTAAAATGATGTTTCAAAAGCTTTGTAACTCATGAAAGTGGGTATGAAAATTTTGTTCAACTTATTCGTATTATCGTTTTCTAAAGCCTCTGAAGTTTTAGATAACCGCTTATTAATTTAAATATGACCAATATTGACGTATTTTTTTTTAATTTTCAATGTAACATTTCTACTAATCGAATATTAAGTTCTTATCTTCAGTTTTTTGCATCTGAGAAATGGCAAAATTATTCAAATGTGAAATTTGCTAGTAATCTTCATGAAGTTATGAACATTAGTCATTTATACATTTTAAAAAATTCTATTTGGAGTGTAAGTTATGAGAGTGATCGTTAATTTTTATTACGTACATACTAATAGCGTACACGTAAGTGTACGCTTTTAGTATCAGTATTAAATCAAAGTATCTGATGCATTTGGCATCCTTTGAATACTGGCTACAAACATTCAAATTTAGTAAAAAAATAGCATCATACATGTACATTATTACAAGCTTGGACTTTTTCAAATTTCATTAATAAAAAGGATAATATAAATCACATGACATAGCTGATATTGTTTCGCGCTTAATTGTTATTCCAAAGACTTGACCATTATTTGACCAAGCTCATAAAATTATACGACAACAACAACAGTCCACTGTTATCTCTGTCGATATTTTACTGATAATGTTATCGTCTATTTTAAGTCATCATTATCAGGTTTTCCATATGGTTACTTTCTCGCGTTTCTCTTGACCAAGTTTTGGTATTACTGTGTGGAGGAAATGAGAGCAATGTTATAAGATGATAATGAAATGAAAACGTGATGTAAAAATTACAATGACGCTGATGAGTGAAGAGACAAAAACTTACCCACGATGTCTCGAATTCGCTTAACCTCAGTCATTTCACTTACCTAATGAACTCGGCTAGCGATGCCGGTTTCGCAATAGTGGCCTTACTGTTCCATACCAGCATTCACCTTAATGACCTAGGGAAACTACGAAAACCCCGGCCAGGATGGCCGGGACGAGGAATGAACCCGGGTGTCCCGAATGCGAAGTCAGCGCGCTACGGCTTCAGCCACTTCACTCGGTCTCATTATTGTACAGTGAAAAAAATGCCACTGGCAGATCTGAATATATTAATAATGAATTAATAATTAATCGAACATTGTAAATGGTATAGTTCTTTATCCCCTTGCCAAAACGTGTGTGTGAGAGAAAGAGGGGAAGGAGGGAGCAAGAGAGAAAGAGATTATTAAAAAAACTAGACTTTTATTTATTAGCGCTAATAAGTTAATACGTGCTTATCATTGTAAGGGCCAAGTCTGTATGAAACTACATTCCGATGGCAATGCGTTTTAGGAGACTGAATTTTGTGGACAGTTACTTCTCAAGGCTTCATTGATAAGTATATTTACTTGGCAATACATTCATTGGTTAGCTGCTAATTAATACTCTCGTTTTGTGAACTATTATAAAAAATTATAATGTCCGTCATAGATAATACAGTCCTACGAAAATGTGGTGCAATGATGTGAATTGATATACGAGTAAGAAGTATACGGCACGATCGAGGAGCAAAAGAGTGTCCTAATCTTCATAAGAGCGTATTAGCACCCATTACGTGGGGTTTTACACTGTACTTTCTCTATGACAAATATAAATATTAATATAAGTTGAATGTAGCTATCATTTCTGCCTTTTATCGTTATTTAGGTGGTGTTAATTCCATGACTTATTTACTCCGTTCCACTTTAAAATTTACTTCTGTTGGGGCGATGTAGCCTGGCCTCCCTGAGGTCGACCGAAAACCGCAACGACATGCTGACATTTAATAACGAAATTATCAATGGGAGTAGAAAAAATAATTAATGACAGACATTTGACATAACTTCGATGATTCATTTATTGATTAATTCGTGTTTCCGGATACGTCAACTGATACTGCCCTTGTGGGTGATCTGGGCTGTCCGAGTGACGCCGCGTCGAAGGCTGAGTTGCCGACGTTTCGACCATTTTCTTTCTTTTTCTTCCTTTTTCTTTCTTTTTCTTTCTTTTCTTCTTTTTCTTTCTTTTTCTTTCTTTTTCTTTCTTTATGCTTGAATTCTTTTCTTGTTCTATTTTTTTCTGGATTTCTTGTCTGTTTTTCTTTCATTCTTTCTTTTTCTTCTTTGTTTTACCAAGGGTAGCGCAAGGGTAGTTAATTAATAATGAAACAAATTTAATTTGGATGTTTATCACCAAACTGGGATGGCTCACGGCATCAACGATGCAGCTGGCACTTCTCTGACGGAGGCCCTACGGTTCAAGTCAGTGGATTTTTTTCGACACTAGCTAGTAATCCGTAGGTCAATTCAGCCTGCTGTCGGAGGAGAATTCCATCGGCCGGCTTATCGAGGTAGGGCTGGTACCGTATACCAGCCCTGGGAAGACCAGACAGGATGGTCGAAACGTCGGCAACTCGCAGCCTTCGACGCGGCCGTCACTCGGACAGCCAGATCACGCCACAAGGGCAGTATCAGTTGGACGTTCGCGAAACACGAATTAATCAATAAATGAATCATCAAAGTTATGTCAAATGTTGTCATTAATTATTTTTTCTATCTTCCATTGATAATTTCGTTATTAAATGTCAGCATGTCGTTGCCGGTTCGGTCGACGCTCAGAGAGGCGCAGGCTACATCGCCCCCAACAGGAAGTAAATTTTAAAGTGGAACGAAGTAAATAAGATCATGGAATTAACAACCAATCTAAATAACGATAAAAGGACAGAATGATAGCTAGATCAACTTATATTAATATTTATATTTGTCATAGAGAAAGTACAGTGTAAAACCCCCTACGTTAATGGTGCTTAATACGCTCTTATGAAGATTAGGACCACACTTTTGCTCCTCGATCGATGCCCGTATACTTCTTACTCGTATATCAATTCACATTCATTGCACCCAAATTTTCGTAGGACTGTATTATCTACTGACGAGACATTATAATTTTTTTATAATAGTTCACCAAAACGCGAGTATTAATTAGCAGCTAACCAATGAATGTATTGGCCAAGTAAATTACTATTCAATGAAGCCTTGCAGAAGTAACTGTCCACAAAATTCAGTCTCCTAAAATGCATTGCTCATCGGAATGTAGTTTCATACAGACTTGGCGCCTTACAATGATTAAGCAGCCGTATTAACTTATTAGCGCTAATAAATAAAAGTCTAGTTTTTTTTAATAATCTCTTTCTCTCTTGACTCCCTCCTTCCCCTCTTTCTCTCCACACACACGTTTTGGCAAGGGGATAAAGAACTATACATTTACAATGTTCGATAATATTAATTCAATTATTAAATATTTCAGATCTGTCAGTGGCTTTTTTTTCACTGTACAATAATGAGACCGGAGTGAAGTGGCTGAAGCCGGTAGCGCGCTGACTTGCTTGCGGGACACCGGGTTCATTCCTCGTCCCGGCCATCCTGGCCGGGGTTTTCGTAGTTTCCCTAGGTCATTAAGGTGAATGCTGGTATGGGAACCAGTAAGGCCCACCTATTGGCGAAACCGGCATCGCTAGCCGAGATTCATTAGGGTAAGTGAGAAATGACTGAAGGTTAGCGAATTCGAGACATCGTGGGTAAGTTTTTCTCTCTTCAACTCATCCAAGCGTCATTGTAGATTTTAACATGCACGTTTTTAA